GTACGTCCTGGCAACCGCTTGACACCCGGTGCATTGGCAAAGGGCCATTCCGGTCCTCGCACGCGCGACATCAGTGCGATGGGAATGGGTGCTGTGGGATTGCACCGTGCAGCATGACCCCAATATCCAAAAAGCTCTTAGTGACTTCTCCCTGCCATGTTCTGTGCCCTGCTCGCTGCGCTGCGAGCCTGCTGGCCCTTCTTCTTGCTATCCATGAGTCGAGCGAGCCTTAAATTGGAAGGGATCCCTACTAAAGCCAAGGATCGCAAAAAGGAAAGTTGTCTGGGTTGTCCTTAGGAAGCGATGAACGGCTTGTGTGGGTCGCACTGCAGCACTCAGCCATCGCTATCATGAGGTGATGAAGCAATCGAAGACCCTGAGCCCTTCGTCAACCCTATACTTGACTGTCTCAAGATTCTGTAGTACGCCCGAAAGGCGTTGGACACCTTGGCCATTCTCGCGAAAAGAACCGCAAACACCCAGAAGTATCCCCAGAAAGATGTTGGACTCCTCCCATTTCACCTCTGCAGACTGTAGCTTTAGTGGAGATTTCGGGAGGCCGGGAGTCTGAATGTATCGGCATTTACGCGAATTAAAGCGAAGGCCGATTGCCCCCAAAATGGCTTCTGTGGCGCTGAGGAGCCGAAGTGCCTGCTCCCTTGCCCTTGATGTCGCGATGAAGACGAGATCATTTCCGAAAGGCGTAAGGAACAGCTTTCTCCCTGCTTCAGTCATCAGCCAGGTTTGTTCGTGAGCTTGCCACCTCTCATTGGTGGGAGTCATAAAGAACTGATGCAGGGGGCAAACAGTTCCGCACTGTAACTACTTCCTTGTAGCACTCCCTGTTTAAGAGCTTGGACCCACTCCGTACCTTGCAGAGACAAGTTCACTTTGCTTTTGCGTATGATCTCAAGAAGGAGTTCAGCTTCTCGACTGTCCGTCGCCGTAGTCGCCGTAGCTAGGAAACTCGCAAGTGCTTCGTGTGACGGGGAATCAAAAGCTGCTGCTACATCTAGCTCGACAGTGACAAGTGGTTTGCCGTGCGTTCCCAAAGCTTGATTTGCAGGCTGCACTTCACATGCAGCATCAAGAATTTGCCTCTGCGGAACCCCTCGTACTTGGAAAGCACCGATTGCAGGGAGCTTGGACCTCAGTCGGATCATCAATGCTTTCGTGAATACCTTGGAGACTGTGGATGAGAGCACTTTGGCCCTGAGATCACTAGGGCACGTTGGCTTGGGTGTCTTGGGCAGGAAGCAGACGTGGCTATGCAACCATTCCTGGGGAACAGGATTCAAGCCCAGGAGGACACCGCTGTACATGTCCAGGATGTGGTCCGCTAGTTCTGACTGCAGAAGCATCTGCAAAGCCTCGTGCGAGATGCCGTCAGCTCCTGTGCTTTTGTTGTGCTTGCAAAGGAAAGCGACCTCACGCAATTCATCCAGGGTCAGGGGCTCGGGGTTCAGAATAGGCCCTGCCTTGTGGTGGAAGATTGCTGTACGCTGATAGAAAAGCCTAAAGTCTGCAATGGCCTTTGTCCGCCCACATGCTCTGTTACAGTAGGAACCCTGTGCATACATAGCAGTGTTGCGCTTACGACAGTATGCAATCGCTCGGAAGTCTCCTCCCGCGCTCTTTTGTAGCAGGGATGCCAACCGCTCCTTCTTGGCTAGTCTTCTGGTGTCGGCGATCTGTTTGGCGAGGGTCCTAGCGGGTGCACCTCGAAGACGCCTGCGTTCCGCCATCATGGACTTAATTTCCGGGGTGTGTACAAAACGGCAGCTTGTGATGCGCTTAGAGACCGTTCGTCCACCACTTACCGCATTTGGAGTTCTTAAAAGCTCTGCGTCCTGAAGAAGGAGATGATTTGAGACTGATGGTGACCGCGCAATGGTCCGATCCAAAGATGGCATGTGAAGCTGAGAGTACTCTGTCGTCCTGTGATTGCATCGAAGGGAAGGCAATGAAAACAACACAAAGTCAATTCTAGAAGCAGCGCCGCTGGTGTGCTCCAGACCTAAAGTGCGGAGCAGCTGGCCTAGAGGGAGGCCCCTCTCGTCGACATTTACAATATCGAGGACGTCGTAGTTCAGGTCGCAGCACAGACAGATTTCATCATGCTATCTGAGGTGTGCACTGAACTGTATTAGTTCGCCGACCTGTTGTTGCCAGACCTGCAAACAATCCGTACGAAGTTTGTAGGGCATGTGAAAAGAAGCAAGGCATTGTCTGATGCCCTTGTCCTTGAGGACAACGCCAATACCAGCACAGACGGATATGGTTTTCTCCACCCTGCCGAGCCAACTCGTGGGAATACCGACGGCGGAAGCCTTGAAAGAATGAGAGGGGTCTGCGTAGAAAAAGGTATAAGATCGTCCCGACAAGAGGACTTCGCGGTGCAACTCTCTGGAAGCCCTCCCAACTCTGGAAGTCCAATTATTTGGGTCCCTGGCAAATCCAGAAGATCCCAAGCACGTGCCAAGTCCTCCAAGCTTTTACCCCGAAGGTTCCAAGACTCCACATGCACATTTTCGCCCCTCGGGCGTTTGCTCTTCTGTCAAGCACGACCTGCCCCGAGAGGGGTAGCATCCGGGTCGAAGTCCTGCCACATCTGCTGTAAGGTCTCTTTCGGACGTCCTGCACAGGAACCATACTGTATGGTTGCCTCGAGAGTCTTCGACAATCTGGTCATTGGACAGGGGTTCCTGACCTTTGCCCATGTTTTTGAGCATTCTGTTCTGCCCTACAAAAACTTGGCCGCGCCAAACGATTTCTGGTTGACGCCACCGTGTGCCAGAAGAGGATGTAAGAGGGAGCTTTTCATAGAAATTTTTGGTCAGTGCCAAGGCCCTGATCCGAATTGTCTCCTGGACCGAACGATCCTTTCTGACCCACAAACTGCAGTTCTCTTGACCCTCAATCCCACTTTTACCCTTGACCCGCCTGAGCTTGTCAAGTACTGTATGTAGTCTGCAAGTGTCTTTTACGGTTCAGCTCGGTCATACCCTGAAAGTTAAGGGACACGCAGAAAGTTCGTGCGACCGGATGGTCCAGACATTTCGCCAAGGCTGTCTGTGATCCCGGCTGCTTCAAAAAGGTTTCTGACCTCTTCCTCGGCCTCACTTACTCGCGCATCAGACCAGCCTCCAATGACTAGACATAGGTCTTGCATGGGATCACGGTATGGTTCCCCTGGCTGCCCATTAGGACTGTTCCTGGGGCTTCTGAGGCTAATGTTCCCGTTGCGGCTACCTCTGGGAGTGTCAGGTGCTCTGACGGGGGTTACCGAACGCGATTTGCGGTCAAGTTCAACAGCCGCCTTTTCTAGGGCTGCAATACGATCGAATGCGGCTTCATAATTGTCCGTGTGTTCTTTGGCAACGCTCTCAAGGTGTCATGTTGGGCAACACTAGACCGCAGCTGAATGCAGCACTCATGTGTGCGGGCGCTCTTTACATGTAGTCCCTGCAAAGACTCGGTCAAGCCCTTCAGCCACTCAGGTGCATCACTGCCCGGTCCTTGTCTTGGCGAGGATGAAAACGCTCCTCCTCCGCCACTTCCTCCCCCTCCAAGAAGAGAGGGTCGATGGACGGGCTCGGCGCAGTCTCTAAGTTCGTCGTCGTCACGATCTCCGTGTCAGAACCTCATGAGGCTGGAAGGCCCCGCTACGGTCAATCCTGAAAACTTGTGGAAGCACAGGTTCTTCTTGCGTGTCTGACTCCTTGGTTTCCAGCTGGATTTTCTTAGGCTCCGGAGCTTTCTTCTCAATGTCAACGTCAGCGGAATCGGGCCTAGTTGTAATTCCCTGTTCGAGCACTTGGTGATGACTGCTTGTTACCGGGCGAAGTTGTGTGCGTTCTTTAGGGGGTGGTGTCATTCCATGGCCACTTGATTTGGCAGCTGTGGGGTGGGTCTTGACAGATGTTCGTTCGGGTTTGGGTGTACGCTCACGAGCGCATCCTCTCTCCATCGTTCCCCTGACAAAACAGTTCCAACACGAACGTGCAGCAAAAAACATTGCAAGCCAAAAACAAGGCAAGTGCAAAGCCAAGGGCAGCAAACAGTGCGAAAGGCAGGCAAGGCAGTCAGTGCAAGAAGGTTTGAAACTGAGACAGTAGTGCAGAGCAAGAAAGAGCGGAAAGTCGGAGAAAGACAGACCAGCAAGACACACTGAGTCCTGATCGAGGGGGGAGAAGTGCTTTCACGTCACGTCACACGGTGTTTTGAGCCGACACTTGAGCCAACATGGCTTGAGCCGTAGCTCTATATATATCTATCTATATATATATATATATAAAAGTATATATTATAACTATAACATAAATATAGTATGAATAGTATAATTATAGTGTAGCTATAATATAGTTATAATTTGTTATAATATACTTATAACATAATTCTAAAAATACCTCATATGGACCTAATATAATCTAACACAATACCTAATATGGCCCCCCCTTCTGCGAACTTAGGTTTATTAGGCAACGGACCCTCCGTCAAACTCTTATCCCCATCGGTGCGGCCCCGATATATATATATATATACATACACGTTTAAACGTTTCTTGCTTTCACAATTTCATCCACATTCATGTGTATGTATATAGTACTTATATTTGTAAACTGTACATCTGAACAAACATATAACTCGCACTCTCTCTCTCTCTATATATATATATACACACAGAGAATATAGGTGCTTTTTGTGATTCTTATAAATGTGCTGCAACTTCGGCTTGCAATAAGAACTCAAACATTTTCATCCCTGTATGTAAGCAGTTGGAACCATAGGGCAGGTGGTCACAATATTTCCCACAATGGTTCTAAGCTGAAGCATCGCCCACAGACCCCGTCTGCCGAAATGGAAAAACCAAAAATATAGAAGTTACTGAAACCGCAACAACCCAGCACATCCCGATACAGTGTGCTGTTGTTCGAATCGAAACTTCTGCGCACTCAAAGTTTGTTTGAATTCTTGGGCCCCGTAAGCAGCCAAGCTGCACGGAAAGCAGTGGGCTGCGGCTGAAGCACAAAGCGTCGATATTTCTCAGCTTTCGGTCGAACCACAAGTGGATATTGATGACCTTTGCATCTTCACTTTACAACATGAACCACTAGCGGCGGAGGAAAGTAAGCGCCTCATTGAGAAACCCACCTACTACCACCCCGGCCGAAGTCTGAAGCAAAACTGAAGCAGCGTGGCCGGAATTCCCTCCAAATGGTCCAGCCTCAGCTGTGCCACCCCGGTTCTCTACAAGCATTCAGATGAGGCTCCGATTTCGAACATGGGTTGTAATCTAAAGCTCTCCGTGAAGTGGGTCTTCGTCACAAGCGGGTGAGGGTGGTCATGCCGTGGAAACAGCCGTGAGTCTAAGGCTCTCCATGCTTCAGCCTATAATCACAACCCAAGATGGCGAGCCACCAAAAGCGGTATGCACCAGTGCTTGCCCAAGAATCTGCCGGAAGAAAGGCATAACTGACCACTGCTGCGGGAGCAAGCGCTTCAGCACGTCGACCTTAGGTGGGCCAGGCTTATACAAGACCCATACAGTGCTTTTGGCAATTATGGCCTCGCAGAGTGGGTTGCTTGCAAACCACTTGGGATTCCGACGGGCATCGCCGAGACGTACTCGTCCGCCCGAAACTTCTCGCCACCACGCATGCTCCTTGGAAAACCCGCGTTGTTCACAAGGTTGCTTTGCTCGTGCACCTTAGGGTCCTCTCCCATCTAACTGGCACATACTGGGCCAGCCACGTTGCTTGTGTGCACGGTACATCACAAAAGTCCAAACGGCTTGATCGTGTCTGGATGCGCGACGGTTTCAGACTCAAAGCCGGTAAACAAAGCACACGAAGCACAAAGATCCTGAAGCCGCGAATCGTTGACCGGTTGCGGCGCTGCCCGATCTGGCAACAGCAAAATGGCCACATCACCCCTCCTGCAAACTTTTGGCGTGCTCGGAGTTGAGCTCCTCGCCTCGTTCCGCCTCTTCTCGCCCTCCCTCGCCCGCCGAAGGAATGTGAAGGATGCTTCATGGATCAAAACTGACAAGAAGTATTTTGTCGGTGTTGCTGCTACATTTGTGGTTCAGGTTACTCGTGCTACTCGGACGACGTCCTGAATTCGTTCAAGCTGAAGTGATTAGACCTTGAGCTTTCTTCACTTCTATTGTCTTATGACTACTTCGACTGGAGCCGTGGCCAATCTGGTCTAAGCACATGGTTTGTTTTGTTTTGGGTGTTGTGGGACCCGCAACACTCAAAGCAGTGCAGTGAACCCACTTTGCTAATCACTACAGCGACGGTCTCAGTAGCACGAGCAGTCTGAACCACCAATGTAGGGCGAGTACCAGCACTGCACAAAAGGCATCCATGCAGGCATTGGGTGGAGGAAGAGGAGAGGGAGGGGTCGGGAAAACCGGATGAGCAGAAACACAAATTCGCAGAATGCCTGGGCACCGGCATGGCATGGGGGAGGGAGAAAAGCATAAGGACAAACACCCACACAGCATACAAAACAAATGGCCAGCCCAAATACTTCAGCTGCAAACTCACAACACGATCTCTTCAGGGCCCGTGTGAGTGCCCAGTGGGAGCTTCAGGCAGCGTGTGCCAGGGATCAGCCCTTGCGGTGAAAGGAACAACGTCGTGCTTTGCTACAGCTTCCTCATGTCTTTCTGCGTGTGCGAGGTGGCTTTCAAGATCCCAGGGTCAGGTAATCCACAAAGCCGTCTGGGCGCAGAACCACCTCCGTGCTCGTTGCCATCGCAAAGGATCTAAGGCCGAGATCTGCAGAGTCCCTGTAAGCTTGAAGCCCAAGCTCAACATCATCGATTCTCTTTCGGCCTCCTCCACGACCGCCCCGAGGCGAACATCTCCACCGAGGCGTTTGATGTGCTCCACCTGAGGGAACGAAGTCATGACCTTACCGGCCTCCCCGGTTGCGGAGCTGAAAGGACGTGCATGCTCAGCAGTTTCCCGGAACCTGGGAGTCGCCCCTGAACATCTGGAGATTGCAAACGTCAAGGATGCTGCCAACTCGACACAATCCATTTCCGCCCCCTGCAGCCCTGAACTGTTGTAGTCTGCGACGGGCGACCATGGGTTGGCAAAGCCGGTCGGGTTGGTTACCGTCCAGGAAGGCAGTTTGGCTTCCATCGGTCTCCTTAGGACTGGGGTTCTTCGAGGTATGCGAGTCTTTGACTAGCTGCACGACCAGGGCAATCGAGGCAAACAGCCCAATGTCTTGCTTTCAGATCGTGATTCGGAGATCTTTCAAGATCTCTTATGTTTTTGCGCGTGCATCTTTAGGGTTTCTGGAATCTAGGCTCGTTAATGAAGCGGTTCATGGCCGTCAGCACGACAGTCATGGAGAGGCGGTCGGGATCGATGAAATCCAGCGCTTTGGCCATTGGAATGAAAATCTCCTGGAGGTATCCGTCTAGAACCCACTGGAAGGCAAGCCTTCAAGAAACCGCTTGAAAGCCCTAAAGTTCCGTGAGATGTTCTCTCGGGACTCCTGAATGATCCGATCCGGCATGCCGTACTTCTTGCAAAACTCTGTCACGGAGCACTCGTCTTGGGCATCCTCGGCACGCAAAACTGCTTCACAAGTCCAGTATATCGAGCCGCACGGGAGATGGGAACAGATGCGAGGCCTTACGCGAGCTATGTATCGTCAAGGTTCGATAAAGCTCTGGCCTTCCACCAGCATTGGCAGCAATGGCGGCCCAGTTTGCAGTTTCCTGAGCCGCCACACAAGATATCGCACATATCGCAATAGCAAATCCAAGTGGCTCAGTCCAAAGTATGACCCTTTCAAGCGCATGCTAGTTGCAAACGAATCCAATGACATCTTTCACCACGGTAAAAGACTGTGAATGCATTCCCGGCCCAAACCCTCCAGCTTGCGCCCTGCATGAGTACTGCCGCTGCAGCGGAATACGACAAGAGTCTCCAAAGGGGACAACATCTTTTGGTTCCCCAAAATCGCAGCCGCCATGTTCAAAGGGGCCGGCCATCCTGCATCTTTTTCCAGCTGGATTTTTAAGCCGTTCTGGACGAAAGCTGTCAAAGTATCCTGCCTGGGAATTCGAAGGTTGTGAACTCCCCGGGGAATTCCTGCCTAAGCTTCCACGCTGTTTGCTTGCAGTGTCCCTGTCGTGCTTCCAGCCTCTTGAGACTGCTATGAAACTCTGCCCCGAGGCAATACCTCGCCATTGTGCAACCCTGCATGCTTCTAAACAAAAGCTACTGGCAACAGTTTATGAAGCGAGCTGGACGACGCTGAAAAGTTGCAGATGGGATTCTTTTGAGGCCCGCTCGAGCACCGAAATGCACGTTACTTTAAACATCCGAGAGACATGGCGAAGGTCATTTGATGCCGCTTCCACTGTAATCGATCCTGCGAGTTGTCATGGCGCTATGCCAACGGCAGTTCCAGCAAGGCTTCGATGTTTGAGCTATTTGCGAGCTTGACCCTGTCTCCTGGCTGGACTAGTAAAGCGCTTCCACTACCACAACGACGACAACAACAACGCTCCTACCGATGCTGCTGCTGCTGCTCGCTTCTGCTGCTATTGCCACTACTGCTACTGGTACTACTAACACTACTAGTACCAGTACTAGTAGCAATGCGGCTGCAACTACTACTGCTATGGCTGCAGCTTCGGCTTGTGTTGCTCCTCCTCCTCCTCCTCCTAGTACTTTTTGAACCCAGGCTCGAATCCTGCATCAGCTGGAAATCGACAGCCAACAACAACAACAACAACAACTACTACTACTACTACTACTACTCCTGCTGCTGCTACTGCGACGTCACAACGACTGCTTCTGCTATTCCTACTCCCGCCCTCTACCACTCGACGACGACTACTGTACTAGTACTAGTACTGGTACTGCTGCTACAATTGAACCCAGACTCAAAGCCGCTACTACTACTACTACTACGACGACGACGACGACGACGACGACTACGACTGCGACAACCACCGCCACCACCACTACCGATTGCCCAGCTACTGCTACTTGCTGTGCGCTGTTGTGGCTCAACCGTTCACAAGCGAATCTCTTTGGCATCCCACATACATCTCTTGCCTCAATGCCGAGTTCGGAAAACAGGTTCATCCTTGGCTGTTGACCGGAGGCCCACATCAGGTCCTCGAAGATTCTATTGGCCCATGACCTTTACACAATTCGTGTGGCCACACATTGCAGCATCCAAGCGGCATGTTGGGGTAGGCACCGAAGAAGATGTGCAGACCGGTTTCCTGAAGCTGCTGGACAGTTGTACCGGAGGAGGGAACATCCGGCTTCAGGTGAGCTGTGTTAAAATACCGGTACTCCATGCCATCAGCTGCCAATCGTCATGAATGATGCCAGCCACTCTAGGGACCAGTTTTGGGCCCAGCATCGATCCAATCTCCATCTTCATCCTGCCATGCCGACACCTCAGAAGCAGTCTCGCGGATGTTGCCCATGTCCACTGTGTCTGGAAAAGACGCTCGTGGCTGGCGAGCCTTGCCGCCGAGGACATCGCGAGCTTCGAGGACGACCTCGGGCTGCTGTGCTACCTTTCACTTTGTCGGGAAGCGCAAATCGTCTCACTGGTCGTGCCCTTCACGCTTCGGCCCGCATCAAAACCAATCGCCTTTTCCATTCCACGGACCGGCAAGACATTAGCGGCTCGCAAAAACAAGTGCCATGTCCGCCATGTCCAAGACCAGACTTCGCTTTCCACCACCCACGCTTCCAGGAGGATCAGAATGTGAGTGAGAAACTCCAAATGCCTGATGTCTCAGTGCAGCACGGCTCTGTGACCAGCATCGGACAGATACCTCAGACAAAACAAGACTTCTCTCGAACAGGATGGACCACTGTTCACATCCGTGTGCGGAAGCGAATTGAACAGCACATAACTGGGGACACCCCCAAATCCCCAAACCATACATTTCCACGCCGCAACATAGGCCCATGGCGGCCCTCAGTGCCAATGGCCTAGAGCCTCAGAAACGGATGCCGAGATTCTTCGCGCAGGCCAGTCCAGAAAGTCCTGCCCATCCAGAAACCCAAAATGCTAAGCCGCTACGCAAGCTTAAGCTGCACCTTATAAGGCAACATGGGGCTCGCGGACTCAGCCAAGCAGAACGCAGCAAAAGAGCGAGGCATCAAAGTTCCAAGCAAGAGCAGTTTGTAGCAAACACTCCTCCCCCGATCACGGCAACTGTTTTCTGCTCGACCTGGCCCGCGGCTTTGGCATGGCATGGTGTGCGGCTTCAGTCTCTTGGGACTGGTACATGTGATGAATCTTCTGATGCGAACATCTACGCAGCTTCTTCGCTTAAGTTGCCTGGCTGCTGATCTGCGTGAATTTTGCGGAGAGCGCCTCAGACATGCCCGCACAACTCGCAGTTCAAAGCATGGCCAAATTGGGGCGGCGACTCCAAAAGTGGCAGCTGGGGGTGCAGCTTTGGCCTCCTTGTAGTTTGCTGTGTTCTCGATGTTTGCTGGCTTCGCGAAATCCTGATCCAAGTCGGTGTAGTGTCGATGAGCTACCACGCATTTTTAACATGCCCAGCTCTTGTAGAACTCTGGTCGTCCCTCGCACACGACCAAAAGGCTGAAAAGGCATTCAAGCCTCTTTGCGGCCACCGGATTTACGTCATAAAGCTGGCAAGGAGAGGCTCAGCGGAAGCCGCAAGTCTGCTCCATGCGGCGTGACGCGAGCAGGAGTTTCTGGCCGCAGCCCCTCGTCGAACGCTTCGTGTTGCTACAGGCAGTAGGCACGTAGGAGTGGCACCCGGCACTTCACTGTCCCATATTCTCTCAGGTCTACGGCAACCGTGCCTGCGCTGACCATCAGCCAAGAGCTCGCAATCGCTGAAACGCATCGCGCAGTGCTTGTGCCACGCGGGGCCATCAAGTGCCTACAAACAAGCAGCGCCACGGCGAGCGCGGATAGGAGTGTGGATAGGTGCGCTGCGGTCCGGAGCCCCGGCGGCAGCGCGCATCACGAGAGGGCAGCAGAGCAACCGCAAGCCCAGATTCGCAATTCCCTGTCCGAACAGCGACAGACAAAGGATCTTCAGCCCAAGCAGAGACCGAGGCAGAGATTGTGGCGGGTTTCGGGCAGATTCTGTGGCTTCGCGGAGGCCACGTTAGGCTCAAATTAAATGTGTTTTCCAAGGCTTGACCAATTTGGTACCTCATCCTGTCGGTCCCCTGTCAGTGTGAGTGTCCGTTTTGGTGAACGGTACCGTGTTGGTATTCAATGATTTCATGTATAGTTGGGAAGTCAAACCTTTTTTGGAGTTTGAGAGCTCGGGACTTCCATATTCTGGGAGATTGAACTTTGCTTGCTGTCTTACGCACTTCAACTTCGAGCTCTGCCCGCTCAATCTTCAATTTTTCGCTGTGTGCGAGTTCGAGGGGACATCGAAGGTGTGAAATTGAATTTGGCTACGTGCGTTTCCCTCGTGTGACATTTCGATTTGGTGTTGGCAACTGAGCCAGATTTTTCGCCAGATCCAGGGTTGGAAAAACTAAGGGTTCGCATGTTTGACGCCTTCAGCATGACTACAGGTCGTTCGACACTTCCACCGTGTTGAATTTGCCTTGCTAGAGTGCGAGAAGTCGAGAACTTACGAGATTGAAAGTTTGAAGGTGCTGCTTCCCAGGAACTCACATTGACTCCGATATGATTTTTTTCACCTATCGCCTCCGTTAGCTGTTCATGTTGTGTGGATACAAACGAAGTTTAAGCTATGATTTAACGGCTTTTTTGCGGCTGTAGCCTTTACTACTCTGTAATCCGGTTCGGCAAAACCTAGAACTCATTTTGGCAGTTATCCCATTCTCCCTTCCCTCGGCCACTCGCCTCCCTGAAGAAACCATTGACCGAAAGAAAACAGAAAGCTAGGGAGAGAGAAAAAGAGAAGAGGGAGGGAGGGGAGGGCAGGGGAGGGGAGGGGAGGGGGAGGGGAGGGGAGAGAGGGAGGGAGGGAAACGGCAGGGAGGGAGAGGGGAAGGGGAGGGAGGGAAGGGAGGAGGGAGAGAGCGAGAGGGAAGGGGAGAGGTAAACAGAATACCAGCATGCGCGCGGAAGGGTTGGACACGAGAGGGTTGACTTAACATGCGTCGACGGACCCACCGGGCTCATCAGCTCATAGGAGCGGTGTTTCGGAAGAGCGGTCAGGGAAAGGGCCATCGACGTTGGCGGTGCTGTGGGGGGTCAGCGACAACAGCGAGACCACGATGTTGAGGTGGCTCCGGCTTCTCTGCAGATGCGCGTGGCAGCCCGTTCCGGCGGAATGCCTCGGCCGCGGAGGAGTCCGGCACGTGGGCATGCTGCCCGGTGATCACCCAATGCGTCAAGGCTAGTCCCGCAGCGGCATGCCGCGGCATCAAGACGCAGCGAAAGGCCGGAGCAGGAGAACACGCCGGGGCAGCTGAATCGACCCTACCGCCTCTACCTCCACTGCCGGCTCAAGCCCCGTGGCTGCCATCAGCGGGTCGGCAAGCGACTGTGCCCCGCCGGCTCCAGTAGGTCCGGACGCGGTCCAAGTCTGGGCCGGCCGGCTGTGTCGGTGCTGTGCTAACGCGAAGGCTCACTGGCTTTCCCCTTTGTCCTTGCTTTCAAGAGTGCGTAGCACGTCCAACCACAGCTGACAGTCCACTTGTTTTTTTTCACGGACCTTTTACTTGTTGCCATCCACGGCAAAAAGCAAAAAAGAGCAGAGCGCTTTCACACCACACGGCTGGCAAGCGGCGGCTGGGAAAGCGAGTCGGCGAGGATGCCGCTCAAAGGTGGTACCTCCCCGTCGACATTGGCCGTGCCGGTGGGGGCAGGGACAGCATGCTGGCTGCGAAACAACGCGCGGCAGCGAAGGAGAGGAGCCAGACCAGCGCAGAACAAAAACCGAGATGACGGCAGCGCGTGAGGGTGGTGGAGCAGACCACGCACGGCACCATGCCAGCAAGCGGACAAGGGTAGCGGCCTCGGCACTCCAACGCCCGACAATCTCAAGGGCTATGACTGTGAGCCGGCAGCGGTTGGACCTGCACAGCTCGGGGTATGTGCGCTCTTTTGGCTCGTCTTGCAGTGAGCAAGGCCGCTCCGGCAGTACAGCCCCCAGCCCTGCGTGGGAGGATCGAGGTGTGCGCGGCAACGGCATCTGGCAGAGGGGCACGGGCAAGCGAAGCCTGCGCAGCAGATGGCTCGGAAGAGCGGCGACTCCAATGAGAACTCCGGCAGGGTGGGACGGGTGGTGAGAACGCGCGCTGCATGAGGCCCAGCCTGCGAGGCCAGCAGGGCGGCCGAGGCAGCGTCCGTTTCCCGAAGGAAGGCCCTATATGGCAAAAGTCGTCACAACGGCTTGGGACGCAGGCAGGGGGCTCGAAGTCAATGGCAGAAAGCGAGGCGAGGGCGTCACGCGCTGATTGCAGGGCCAAGGGTCAGAGGCGAGAGAACCTGCAACTTCATGTGCGAAGTCGGGGTTTCGACGGGCTATAGCACGCAATGCATCAGCCCACGAAGCCCAGTAGGCAGCTGGCGCGTGCCGTGTCGCACTGCGCAAGCCTGCGCCGCCGTGCCGCAACGCTACCTGCGCGCAGACGGGTGGAAGATCAATCAAAAACTAGAAAGCATCAAACAAATTTAGGCTGAACGGATCAACTAAAAATTAGAAGGTTAAAAAATTAGGGTTTGGGGATCTGTTGCAAACAATAGCACGGTAAGTGCTATTCCAATATTTCCGCGAATTATGGTGTCAATCCCAGAAAAGTCTGGGTGCAGGCAGTGGAGCGCGGCGGCGCAGGCCGACCTGCCCTCAGCGCGGCCTATGCCACTGCAAACCTTCTGCGAAGCGAGGGATGGCAGGAGTGCCCCACTTGGGAAACACTCCTCAGCACCCCATGCGCAGCCCCGCGTGCCCGGGAAGCCGGGGCTGGCGACTGGCCTCATGGCTGGCAGTTCCACGCATCGCGTACACGCTCACTTTACTTCCGCGATCGAGTGCTACTGCCCACCGTGGAGCCGGCTCACCAGGCGCTGTTGCTGTCCCAGTCGGGTCCCCAAGCCGCCGCGTGGCTCACGGCCACACCCACGGACAGGTCCACCTCGATGCCGCCAGAGGTCATGCAGATTGCGCTTCGCAGACGTCTCCGTTTGCCTCTGCCTCTGGGACCCGGCATCTGCGGCCAACATGGGCACGGATGCCGAAGACGGTTAGACCCCATGGGGCGACCACGCGCTCGCCTGCACACGCAGCGGCCTCTTGGCACGCCGGGCGAAGCTGGTGGAGCAAGCCTGGCTGGCGGTCTGCCGCGAGGCGGTGAGAGCGGAGGGACACGTTGTCCCCCAGCAGTGGCTATCGCACACGTCGGCGCCAGGAGTCCCGACGTCAGACCGCCGACGCCTCGACCTAGTGGATCGCCCCAGGGCTTCGCCCTGTGTTGCGATGCCACGCTGTTCAGCCCCATCACCGGAACGAGCACCCCTCACCCACGAGCGGAGCATACTCCAGGCATCGCTTTGCGCATGGCCGAGAGCCGCAAGCGCGCAACCTACCCGGAGTTGCAGCGCGGCGGCGGCCAGCGCCTCTTCGTCCTTGCTGTCGAAGTCGGAGGGCGCTGGAACGCCGACTCGCAGACGCTTGTCCGACAGCTCGTCCGGGTCCGGGCTCTCCGTGCGCCACCTGCCCTCCGAGCTGCTGCCTCCACTGCCTGGACACGCAGGTGGTGGGGCATGCTGTCGACTGCAGTGCAGTTGGCGGCACGGCCCTGGGAGCGCCATGCCTGGTCTCCAAAGGCGCCGCTGCCTGCGAACCTGGCTTGGACCACGTGCTGGCGCTCGCTGAGCCAGCTGGCCCGAGCCGCCTCCCGCTGCGCTGAGCGCCCATCCCGCTGGGCCGCGCGACTCCGTCTTACGCACAGCTGCCTGCTTCGCTTAAAAAAAAAAGGTCTGGGACCGCGTAGAGGGTTCGAACGGTTGGTGTAACCAGAGTTGCTGGCCATGGCTGCGTGCGCTACACAGCCTTAGTTGCCACGATGAAGCTACAAAAGCGTGGTACAGCGTGGAGGGCTTCGACGTTAAAACAGTTGCTGGCCATGGCTGCGTGTGCAGGTGATTCGGAACTCGCCAGTAATTAGGGGGCAACAGTGGTTCGTGACTTGGTTTACTGTTTCGGCTAAGGTGGTTTGGCTCAATTGGCTTTTTGCATCTGGACTTGTGCAATCGCCAGAGACTGTCAGCCCAGGGAGCATGTGCAGATCTAAGACACTACACTTCTCACTTCTGAGATGACACAAACAACAAGCTTTAGCTTCCTCGCCGAAAGGGTCAAAATCTTCTTGCAACCTCATGCTCGGCACGTCGGTTGTCAATTTCCCGAACCGCATCTGCAACGCACATCCCCTGCTCAAGGTCCTGCACTGTCACTCCCATCTCCAGGTAAAGCCGAACAAGCCATGTGCGATGAATGGATTCGAGCGTTGTTTTGAGGAGCGTTCCATACCTCTGACGC